ACAAACAAACAAACAAACAAGCAAACAAATACATAAATAAATAAAATGAAGAAGATATGGCCATTTGAATATTGGTAAGTTGTTTAATGGCTTTAATCCACTTTGGAGTGATTTTTTTTCCACTTGGCTGGACCTGTACGTCTCCTGTGTTAATGTTGGTACATGTAATATGCTAATTCTGTACTGTGGAGATCATTAAGAGTCGTCGGGTGAAAAAAATCTTTTGCTAACACTGTGTTGCCGGTGAACTGGAAGACCGGTACGTGGCAAAAGAATGCGGAATTGCTAGAATCGTAAGTCCGTGGCATTTAAGCTATTGTCCCCACCAGAGGGCGCTTCCTGGGGGTGTTAACAATGGCTGTTCATTTACGTTAATTTGCATTAACTCCACCCCCGAGCACTGACTGTCAACACAGGTAGGCTGTAGAAAAGTGTGCAGACACAAGCTCAAAAGGCTCACAAGACAGAAGCTTGATTTTTTTCACAATTATTATTTAAAAGGAACAAACAATTTTAATTCAAGTCTATTTCACACCATCATCATGATAAAAATAACTAGTGTCACACTCCCTGCTAAAATATAAAGTTTTACTTTGTAGCAGTTCTAGACCACATTTATCTGGGGAACAAGATGGGGCCAGTGTTTTTTTTCATGGGGGCACACAAGGTAGAAGCGTAAAGTGCAACACCTTCATTTTTATTTATTTTTTTGTTAAAGTAAATCAGTGACCAGGACCAGTTTTATRGAGGCACTGCCCCCTGTTCATTACAGTTTAGGACCACCCCTGTTCCCCACTCCTGCAGCTGCATAAGGGACTCTCACTGCAGGTCTTGATGCTCAGTTCTGACCTTTAGATGTGAATGTTTGCATTATATTTTAAATGTGACCTCCATCAGACTCCTGTGAACTCTAGATGGATCTGTTGTGACCCGCAGATAATGACGTGACGTCACATTCAGCCGGCTGTTTGTTTACAGTTAGCTAAACATGCTATCTGACATGCTTGTTTAGTTCAGTGTTTACATCTGAAACAAGAAAATCACTTTAAAAATAATCTTAAAGGTTCGAACTAAGGAAATGCTTGAGTTGCTTCAGTTCAGTTAAACTTTAATGTGAAGTAATGATAAAAGTCTGGGTGTTCAGTTAAATATTTATCCTGTGCCTTGTTTGATTCAGAGAAGCTGCTGGACTTTGAAACCAGCAGCAAACTGTAACCCACAGTTTGACCTAAAACCACATGATTTCTTCAAGCATCTTTATATTATTTACTTCAGCTCTGGTATTATTTGATCACAAAATAATTTGAAGAGTGAAAACAAAATATTTTTTTGTCTCAGCTACAAGCAGCACATGTCTGTTGTGTTCTTCTGGTTTTTAAAATGAATTTAGTTATTTCAAAACGACTTGAAGCTTAAATTTTCATTGTGACAGAACTTCAGGTTTTAACAGAAAGAACCAGTTTCACTTCCTGTTAAATTCTCTACTCGTTGCACCGACGCCATCTTTACCTCCGCCAAGGGCGAGGGAATGTTTTCTGTCTGTCRTTCTGTCTGTGGACAACATTACTCAAAAACTTGTGGACGGATTGTCTTGACATTTTTAYCACATGTGTGTACTGGGTCAAGGAACATACCTTTAAATTTTGGTGATGTTCCGGATCACGATGCGGATACAGGAATTTTTTTCTTTTAACACTCTGAGATCGGCAAAGCTGTGATGCTTTCACAGGGCTTCTGTAAAAAACAGTGAGCTGGATTGGACAGCACGGACTTCAAACTTTATAAAAGTAATGTTAAAACCACGTTTAAAGGTGAATAATTTTTGCCATAATATAGTATGTGCATTTACAGAATGTTTTGTGACCAGGAAGTGCGTGACTGCACCATGAAACTTTTTTTCCTATTTCCTCGAACAACCAATCAAAACAGTTTCTTTCTACTATGCTTGTAAACAGAGAGCTGCCGGGCCTCAAAGTTTGGAGACGGGGGAGCCAGGAAACACTTTATAAAGAGAGTCAAACCATTACAAACTCATACAAGGAGATAAAACAGACGTTTTACATGGTGAAATGTGACTGATGAAAACTTAGGAGCTTAATCCCACACCAGTTTGACCATGAATAACGTTGGGTGATGAGTCAGACTTTTTTTTTTCCACATTGGACTCCACCAGGAATAAATCCCATGCATACTGC